TTATGTTGTTAAATAATTTTAAAATACATTATATATTCATTGCATAATATTATAAATGACTGATATTTCACTGAAAATGCGGTAAAAAATATATGTTTTATCTTACAATACATGTTATATATATTTATAATACGTAATACAAGAGAATGCATAATATATTATGTATTTTTATTTTATAGTATTTAATTCTACTATCAATTTGTTAGAGTATATTTTCAATAGTAAAATCAATATACAATAACTTTTTATGGAATAAATATATTACAAAAGTAAATATAGTACTTGTATATATTTTTCTTAATAATTAAATTTAAATAATGGTATATAAAAACATAATATGTTGAGACAACTCATATACAAAGCATAATATTATTTACAGAAATAGTTATTGTAAAAGTGCCTTAACGAAATAATATAAAAATTAACAGTTTCATATTGATTATTATTATAATAAGAAATTTATGTTATCACGAAAAGAGAAAAATCTTTTACATTTATTTTCCTTGATGATATTTTGACTATTACTTAATTTTTAACATTATATATGTATGACATTCTAGTGTGAACTTCTAATTTTATTAGAATAAATATTTTAACATTATGTAAGATCAACATGATACGATATTCGCATATTTAATAGGTAAACATAAGAAAAAAATGAAAAAATATATAATACATCTGATGTGTAATCCTTTTGATGTGGACAATGTTTTTTTACTTATATTTGTATTTGATTAATATGTACATAAATGAATAATGTCATAAATAAATTACGAGATAATTTTTTTGAGCCATTGATAATATAAGAATTGGGGGTTGTATTTTATTATGAATAAAAGACAATTAAATTATATGATATACATAAAAATTAAAAGGCAATTCTTTAGAGTCAATATAAAAGGGTTTATTCAAAAAGAAGATATATATGATATATATATACACCTTATAATATAGATGTAATATAATGTTTTAAATTGTGTCAATAAATAGTTCTTAAATGTATGTTCTGTAGATATATTTTGTTTATTTATCTTTTTTATTAGGATTTATAAGAAAACTATTCCATTTATTTATATAGTGTATATCTATATTATGTCTAGAAACCTAAATATATTAAGCATATTTAAATGATCAATGATTAAAATTAAAATGTTTTTAATAAATATTTTTACATACATATACAAATTTAATGTAATAATTGTGAAAGGACACTTAGGTAAAATGTGATATATCAATATAATATATATATATATAAGGCATAATAATATGTGATATATTCATTATTGTAACTTTTAGTTAATAAGGTTTATAGAGACATTTATATTACCTTTATTGCTAAGCAAAATAATAGATATAAAAAACAATTACACGTTTATAATTTTTCATAATATTAAGAATTATACATCTATATATTTAAATGAAAACAAATTTAATTTTTATATTTCACTAGATTCATATGATATAGCACAAATATCATATAAAACATTTGAAACGTACCATGATTATTTAATATATGCATAAATAAAATAATGCACTTGAAGAGATTTATATTATTTTTACATTAAATTACCATGTATGGAATTTCAAATAATTAATTTACAGTTTTAAATAATTAAATATATATAGCTGAAGAGCTTCTTCTACATAATCGCATGAAAACGTGCCTGATAAATCATATAATTTTCTATAAATATTATATTATTAAAAAAAATTTAAGGAATATAAATAAAATAATGTTAATATACATTATCTTCAATTATATATACATATTCCTTTTTACACACATTTTTTTTGTAAATTTCTCGGATCATACACATTTTACAGAAATTGAATGGGTCCTAAATCATTATTACATATATGATGTTAAATAAATAACTATAAAACGATAATTATTATCTATGTAGATTTATAAGGTATAAATATAATAACCAGAACTGTTTTCATTTTTATTTTATATAAATTACGGCTCCTTAAAAATTGTGTAAAAATTTCTATAAGTAAGAATATAGACAACACGGAAAAGGACAAATCACTAAAAAACGAATGTGGTATATTCTTGTGTATAATACATCTTATAGGAAAAAAAATATCCCCCCAATATATATAATTATGGATCAGAAAATATAATTATCATATGCCTAAATTTATAAAATTCCTATATTTTTTGGATAATATGTCTCACTTTAAGAAAAATTATATATGTAAATGCTCTACAAAAAATATTCTTTTTTTTCATGTAGAAGTTTTTTAGTGCTAAAGCATTATATATATTAGTTTTTTTTTTTTACATATTTTCTTCGACTTCATTTTAAGCATTAATCCTCTTTTTAATTCTTGGATTGTATTTTCTTTTTTCCAAGTTTTTTCTTATTTTAAATCACATAATAAAAAGTAATTTATCCATTCATTTATATTTTATATTTTAGCGATTAACGCTGTATAGTAAATTATGACACTGAAGTGAATAATAAATATAATAATATAACTATATGGCATATGTATTTTCTTAATACAATTCTCTATATAATAAAATAAAAAAAAATTATTTGAACAAATGTCACACTTCAAAATGTTCTGACTATTTAAAATTGGCCAACATATCCTTTTACATCAAAAATAGTCTTACTAATATATAGATAGATATTATAAGGTTTATAAATAATTACTGTATCATATAACAAAAAATTACAATCTGTTTCATATTATTAAAATCCTAAATATAAATATTTTAACGAACATTATAGAATATAATTAAACCTTTAATTCTTTTCTAAACTATTGTTAAAATCAAAATTTTTAGTCATCTAAATTATTTTATAAAATATATAAAATATTATTATATACGATTTAATTTTATTTTAATATTTATTAAACTAAGCTATAATACATTAATAATTATTTTATATAATATATATGATGCGTTATCTTAATTGAGTTTTGCATGTTCTTACGACGCGGAAATTTATAGATCTATTAAATTTTTAAATTTATAAAATTGGGGAAACCTACAAAAAAAGATAGATTACATATATTAATAGGAAAATTCTGATTAGTATTTACTTATTAATAAATTAAAAAAAAAAAAAAAATTAATTTTCAATATTTAATATTTTTTTCTGTAATTATTGTACTTCATTTATGTAGTAAATCAGTAATATGGGAAATTTATATGTAAATTATTTAATGTACTGAAGTAAATGCATTTAATATATTTTTTGATAGAGATTCAGAACTTGTGAATATTAATAAGGAAAACAAGAGGTTTACTCGTAGTGTATCAAGAATTATTAGAGTAGTTTTTACAATTTAAAAATAATATAAGAAATAGAACAATGTATTCATAAGTATAGAACAAAATTCTATTTTTATTATATTTTATAATAAATGCGTAAAATATGTGAATATCTTAAAAATATTATTTTTTATTTTTACATATTATATTTTGTTATTTTTTGATAACTGTTTCATTACATAAATAATTTGTATATTACATTTTGATATTTCTTTTCTTATTTTCTTCCTTTCATAATAGATTGTTTTCTATTTGAAAAAAATTATAAAACGATACGTTAATATATGACATATTTTTTTTATCCCCTAATAATAATTTTAATCTACTTCAACATATACGATGAAATGTATGCTTCATATATAAAATTATTTATAATTGTAACTCCATAATACATTATGTTGAATTAATATTTCCATTTATGCGTCATTATTTGATGAAAATAGATAGTCATAAACAATACGAAATAAAATTTATAATAAATATGCTTTTTCACAAAATCCACTAAGTTAAAAAACAAAACAAATAATTCATACATTGTCTTAGATGTAATAATTTTTAGTGATATGTTAAAAGATTCTATATATAATTATGATAAAATTTGTCTTATGTATAAACAACTTCAGTATATAACACAATTTAATAATAAAATATGCCAAAATATATTTATGTATGAACAATTGAACTTATCATTTAAAATGGTTTTATATACTTTTAATTATACAATAATGATAAATGATTTTTTAAAAAATATATATTTTTGAACACACTTATTTCTCCTTATAAACTTGAATGCGTTTGTAAAATGTTATAATTATTTTTATTACAGAGTGATAACTACATATATCATTAAAAAAAAATTATTCATAAATTTCTAATTAAAATGCACATTTTTCTGACAAGAAAGGCACAAATTTATAAACATTTTTATCAGTTCATATAATGTCCAATTAAAATAAATACAATAAAAAAAAAATTTATATGCTTTGTAATAATCACTTTATGGTAGTAATATGTAAATAAAAAACATTTATTATTTATTTCTTGTTTCGAATTTTAAAATTATTATTAATACAACATATATAAATATTACTTTTTATATATAATATAGAAATGGAGGAAAACATAATGAATTCAAAAAGAAAAAGAATTTTTAAGATATTTGTTGAATTCATATCATCATAAAAAATAGTGATTCCTGCTTAATTAAAATATTCAATAGTCCTAGATAATATAAATTATATAAATGATATTAAATTAATCATATTATATATAAAATAAAAAATCCTTTTATAATAAATTTAATCAGTAATGTATACGATATGTAGCATTACATATAATATTCATAGATAGTATATATTATAATTGTAACATAATCAATAATATAATGTTTATTATTAAAAAAGATGAATAATTAATTCAACACCCATTTCATGAATAACAAGGAATACTTATAATATATAAATATATATATTATATCTTGTAAAATTTATATGTAACAATATTTCATAAGACATAACAAGAAAGTAATTATATATCATAAATTTATACAAACATAGACAAAACCATAAACGCACACACCTCAGCCTAAATAGCACTATATATACTAATATTAATTTTATTATGTTTTTTTCAATATATTATTATGTAAATAGTTAAATATATGCTTCTTCTATCTTGTTTATATATTACTTTTTAACATACGTTAATAATGGGAGAACATTTAGGGGTACACATTTTATATAATGTAAATTATTATTTACGCTAATGTACCATATTTCTTAATAAATTAATTATTTTTTATAAATAAAAAATATATATTTTATCCTTTGTTTTAAATTTATAGGATAATGTTCTTAAAAATTTGCCTTCAAAACAAAAGTACGCTAGTTTCGTTAATGGTGATGCTAATTGCGAAAGTGCTTACTATTACAAAGGTGTAACGGATCTCATAGAAAAACAGAAGTGGCATAATGATGTTTCTGACAAAATACTTAAAGCCTTATGTTATGTATATAATAAAAATAAGGGAAGTAACCTTATCAGTGATGATTGTGATTACCTGTACTTTTGGTTAGGTGATATATTAGATAAAAATTTAACAGATAGAAGTTCTTTTTACACTGTTATGGGAACACTTAATTTTTTTCTAAAAAGTAGTGCTGATCGTAGTATATGTAATTATGATAAATATTATATAACTTACCGTAATTTTATGGATACTAAGATATTGTTTGATTTTTCGAAAGACTATAAAACACTTGAACCATATTTTCGCACACCTAATAAGACTTGTAATGATTCTTTTAAGTTATATCTTGACGCATGTGTCACAAAATATAACTCTTACAAAAATATGTATGATGAATCCAGTTGTACGGATGCGACTTGTATTGCTTTCAATGAATATTTTAATGACAAGAAACAAATGAACTTAATTGAATGGACATGCAACCAAGTACAGAATGTAGATAGTTCCGCAAAAGAGCAACAATATTACGATGGAGAAGTGGAAAAATCACATTCATCTGGAGAACTACAAAGTGTAGGGGTACTGTCTAGAGCAGATCAGGGAGTATATGAGGTAGACACACATGGGGTAGATATACCTGATATACAGAAAGATGTGCTAGATGCATCTGGGGTACAGACATATGTAGATGTACAAATAGAAGTTTTAAGAAAAGGGACACATCATCATATAGATGAAATCAAACACACGATTTTATTTGAAGGACAACACAAAACATATACACATTCAGAAGATTCTTATTCTAGTATTAGAGATTCAGAATTCGACACTATTTCTGCTTTTTCAGATGATCATTCATCCTACACTTCCTCAGAAAGCATAGTTATTGCTCCTTTCGTTATAGCAATTACAGTTTTTTTTATTATACTGTACAAAGTAATTATTAATATAAATAAAAATGATATACACATTACATTATGTTAAATAAATTTTATTAACTTTTAAATGCGTCTGCAGATATTATGAATAAAATATTTTTTCTTCATGAACATTATTTTCATTAGTTTACTACAGTTGGGTATTGGTTAAAAAGGCTCTTACTAGGAAAATCTAAGAGGAAACCTAATATTATAATGGATAAGAATATAATGGAAGATTATTCGATTTCTGAAGGTACAGAACCCTCCAGAAGATTTAATGTGGCATACAATAATATATAATTGTTCTACTTAGGACAAAAAAAGAATATTTTACCTATATATATCTGCATCATGATAGGTATAGCTGTACAAAATCGTTCATACAACAAAAGGCAAAGAATTGTTTTTTATTTGAAAAAATACAATAATAAATTTAAAAAATATATATATTTATTATATAAATATGTGTAGTTTTTAAAGTATATATATTTGTTCTTTCCATATGCATAAACATATAGTTAAAATTATACACATACGAATTCCAAAAAATATAATGATTCAGAATTAAACTTACAATACATTGGTTCATTATTTAATCATAATATTTATTGTTACTTTTTTAGTATTTACTTTTTTGTATATAAATTGCATGCCTTTTTATTTGTTACATATATTATATTCTAGTAATTATAAACACTAGAAAAATATATTATAAGATAAAAGTTTACGAATATATATTATATTCTCTAATCTTTTACGTTAATATTTACTATATTATTATGATATTACTAGAATATTATCATAAAAAACTTAGTTCAAGATTTTGCTATATATTTGATTGGAATTATAAAAAATATTTCTTTATTTATACTGTTTATTAATTACAATAATATTATCAATTTTATATATTTTCTTTTTATTATATATGCATTTATTATTACTATTGTTTTTGTTTTCAAAACTTTTAATGCATATTTATTGTAAGCAAGAAAATATACAATGTATATAAAGGTATGTTGCTTTCATGTAATAATATTATTAATTAAAAATGCTATTAGTGTTACAGTTATTTATATTATGGATATGCAAACATTATATATTATAAATAATAATAATTTAATTAAAATCATTAACGATATTTACAATAAATTGCATATAAATATAAAAATAATATTTGTTAACATTCCATATTATATATTTTCTCTTTGTATTTTATTACACCTTATTGCATAATTTAGAATTTCTGATGATGTATATGGTTATGGACTGTTTTTTTTTGAAGTATAATTTCTAATTTTTGCAGTATTTATATTTATGTATATATGTTTGAAGTACTGAAATTTTAAGCATTTAATTCCTCTATTTATAATAAAATTTTTTTTTCTAAAATTAATAGGTGTTGTGTATTTATTAATTTACATTCGATTTATTAATTAGAACTCAAGGGGAATACCTTGCTCTATTATATGAATTATTCTTACATGTGTAAAAACAATGTGAAGCTGTTTTTATATATCTATTTTTTGTTATTCATGGTTATTAATATTTATGTTTGATTTATTTTGTTATTAATTATGCAATATTAAACAATATAAAAGTGAATATAACTTCTATATTACCTATTTATATCTAATGGAAATGTTTATGGAAGAAAGGACATTTTGAGTTTGATTTTAAAGGTTCTTAAGTTTACAAAGATGATTAGATGCAAATTAGAAAAAACGAAAGTTAAAAAAAATATAAGTGTGTTAATTCCATGTGTGAAATGCACAAATATTGTTGTTCTCTGTATTGCAAAAATGCTAGAGAGAACACATTCTATAATTAAATAAAATATTGTGGAAATGTGATAAAGATATCATTTCATATATATTAAAGATGCTTGAACTATGATGTTGAATGCATATACAAAAGCTATTAATTTACATAACTGTTATAATAGCAATATATTTCAATGTTCTCATAAATGTGACAATAGGAAAACCTTAAGCACTACGCATCACTGAATATTTTTTAGGGGATTAGATATATTTATGTGTTAAAAAAATATCAAATTAATTTATTGAATATGTTAAAACTAAAAATATGAATTCTATATATTAATCATTTGTAATGTTGTCCATAATTTCATCATATATGTGTTAATATTAGTGTTCTTTTTATTAAAAAATGTATGCATGGAATATTTACAGATATGTTTATATTAATTAATACACACTAAAAATATATGCATATTAAATAAAAAAATAACAAACAATAAAAAAATAAATCAATAGAAATAAATAAAAAAAAAAAAATAAAAAATATTATGTTAATATTATAATTCTAATTTTTTTATGTCACAAAATATGCGAAGTTATCCATGTATTATAAAAAAGCTACAGGCAAATTAACTCATACCTAATGTATCAATAAAATTTTAGTAACAGGAAACAAATAGAGAATACCATGAAATTACAACAAATATTTTTTTTTTATCGCGTAAAAAAATAATTGCATAAGATTAATGTATATAAATTTTATAAAAATAAAATATAAATTACTTTTTTTCCTTTATATTAAATTTATAATCGATAAATTACATGCTACTAAAAAATTTCAAGAAAGCCTATTTAATAACGTAAAATATACATATTTTATTAACAAAAGGAGAATACAAATGTGCTTTATATTTATCGAGAGGATTAATAGATCTCCCAATTATACATTATGCATTTGTTTATATCTATTTTCTGTCACACTATCATTGACAAACCAGTTCATATCATAGAATACGTTTGCATCCAATAATGTTACATTAATAAATATATATTATTAGTAAATGTATTCAAATATAATGTAATAAAATTTAATTATAAATATTAGAACAAATTTTTAAGTAACATTAGCCATGCTATATAGAAATGTCGAAAAATATATATATATATATATGGAAAGA